GACAGATCCTTTGAGTATGATATAGTGTCCTTCCTCATCTCTTATTATAGTCTTTGGCATAAAATCTAATTGATTTGATATAAGGATTGCCACCCCAGCTTTCTTTCAATGTCCATTATCATGGTCACTTGTTTCCCACCCCCTCACTTTAAATCTGGAGGTGTCTTTGGGTCTAAAATGAATTTCTTATAGCCCACATATTGATGGGTTTTGTTTTTTTATCTATTCGGATACTCTGTGTCTTTTGATTGGGGCATTTAGCCCATTTACATTCAGGGTAACTATTGAGAGATATGAATTTAGTGCCATTGTATTGCCTGTAAGGTGACTGTTACTGTATATTGTCTCTGTTTCTTTCTGGCCTACTACTTTTAGGCTCTCTCTTTGCTTAGAGGACCCCTTTCAATATTTCCTGTAGAGCTGGTTTGGTGTTTACAAATTCTTTTAGTTTTTGTTTGTCCTGGAAGCTTTTTATCTCTCCTTCTATTTTCAATGATAACCTGGCTGGATATAGTATTCTTGGCGGCATGTTTTTCTCATTTAGTGCTCTGAATATATCATGCCAGTTCTTTCCGGCCTGCCAGGTCTCTGTGGATAGGCCTATCTAATGTTTTTACCATTCTATCTTACAGACTTTTTGTCCTAGGCTACTTTCAGGATTTTCTCTTTGTCACTAAGACTTGTAAGTTTTACTATTAGATGACGGGGTGTGGACCTATTCTTATTGATTTTGAGGAGGGTTCTCTGCGCTTCCTGGATTTTGATGCTTGTTCCCTTTGCCATTTTAGGGAAATTCTCTGCAATAATTCACTCCAATATACCTTCTGCCCCCCTCTCTCTTCTTCTTCTGGAATCCCAATTCGTCTAATATTGTTTCGTCTTATGGTGTCACTTATCTCTCGAATTCTCCCCTCGTGGTCCAGTAGTTGTTTCTCTCTCTTTTACTCAGCTTCTTTATTTTCCATTATTTGGTTTTCTATGTCACTAATTCTCTCTTCTGCCTCATTTATCCTAGCAGTAAGAGCCTTCTTTTTTGATTGCACCTCATTAATAGCTTTTTTGATTTCAGCTTGGTTAGATTTTAGTTCTTTTATTTCTCCAGACAGGGTTTCTTGATATATCTTCCATGTTTTTTTTGAGCCCATCTAGCACCTTGAGAATCATCATTCTGAACTCTAGATCTGACATATTACCAACATTGGTATTGATTAGGTCCCTAGGCATCAGTACTGCCTCTTGTTCTTTTTTTTTGTGGTGAGTTTTTCCACCTTGTCATTTTATCCAGATAAGAATATATGAACAAGAGAATAAAATACTTTCCGAAAGTGGTCAACTTTCTGTTTCTAGAATTGCTGCTTTTCTTCTCTCTCTTCTGCCATCTTGACTCCTCTCTGCTATTTCCCAATTTCTATTGTGACTTCTTCCCTGGTCCATACGTTCTTTAGAAATAAATTGCTTAAGTTCTTAAAATCACATCTTAAAAAAATAATCTTTTTGTTATGTTCTAATTTAATTCTACATATTTTAGTATGCTATTTTGACTTAATAGTTTTTCATACCAATTAGTTATTTTACAATTTTCCAGGTAATGTAAGGACCTCAGAACATTTTAATTCCATGTTCTCCCTCCCACTTTTTGTTATTATTGTCATGTATTTTAATTCTATGTATTTTTAAGCTCAGGATGATATTTCATACATTCAATATTAACTTAGATGTACTTATGTTTCTACCCTTTCTATTACTCTATATTTCTTCCTGCATTTTCATGCTATCATCTTGTGCTTTCTTCTTGAAGTACTTACTTTAATTTTTCTTTTAGTGTAGATCCATTTTATTGATTTTAAAATTACTTTTTTGCCTTTGCTTTGAGGAACATTTTGTTGGAAATAGAGTCTAGATTAGCATTTGGCAACTATTTATTTTCTTCCAGCACTTGTAGTTTTCATTATTGTCATATGGATTACATTGTTTCTGCGAAGTAGTCAGGCCTCAGTCTTATTGATTCTCTTAAAAGGAAATATTTCTTCCCCTCCCCTACCCCCCAAAGCTCTGGTTCCTTCAAAATTGTCTTTGTGTTTGGTTTTCTGCACTTTCACTATCATTTGTACATATAGTTTTCTTCAGATTTATCCTGACTAGGATTTGAAATACTTTTTCAATTTTGTGGCTTGCTGTCTTCTTTCAGTTCTGCAAAATTTAAGACCATTATTCCCTCAAAATGACTTTTGAACTGTTCTTTCTTTCTTCTCCTTCTGTGACTCCAAATATTTTCTTGGAATACCATGTCCTTTACTACCCACACCCAATATTTTTTATCCTTTTGTTTCCTATGGTTTAGTCTGAATATTTTCATTTGACCTTTAGTTTCATTAATCATCTCTTTGTGTCTGTTTCTGCTGTTAACCCATCTATTAAAATTTTAATTTTAGCAAATGCATTTCTCAGTTTTAGAATTCTCGTTTGTTTCTCTTTTTAGATAAAATTATCTATCTCCATTTAATTTCTTCAACATATAAATGAGATATTTTAAAGTACACCTCTAATAACTTAATATCTGTTTGTCTTCTATGGGTCTGTTTCTGCTTTATTTATCTTGGTTTTTGGCCATATAGTCTTACTCTCTGATATGCCTAGTCATGTTTGATTGACCACAGGACCTCAGACATGAACAATTGTGGAGATAAATTGAGCCTTTTGATGTGCTTTCTGTATCCCTAGAGAATGAATGTAGTTTTGCATCTGTCAAGCAGCTAGGGTATGGGTCAATCACCTTAACCCAATCAGTGGTTAATTCAAATCTGGAATTCAGTCTTTGTGAGCACTGATTTAATTTAGGTTTTTCTCTATCCCTAAAGTGAAGGCCTTTTGTGTTCTGAAATAAAAATCTGGGTAGTTTAATATGGATTTTTCCTTTTGAACTCCAACTTTTGTCCCTCTTATAAAACTGTAAAAAGTTTTAGTCAGCTTTTTATCTTCTTAAGTTGCCATTTTTTTACTCACCATCTTGATATCTTAATAGTCACTTGGGAATCCAAAACTGATTCAAGGGCAAAAGCAGTACCAAGTGTTGGCATTGCCCCTCTAAGTTTCCCTTCTTCTTCTCCTCCTTCTCCTCCTTCTTCTTCTTCTTCTTCTTCTTCTTCTTCTTCTTCTTCTTCTTCTTCTTTTAAAGATTTTATTTATTTATTTGACAGAGAGAGACACAGGGAGAGAGGGAACAGAAGCAGGGGGAATGGGAGAGGGAGAAGCAGGTTTCCCACCAAGTAGAGAGTCTGATGTGGGGCTCAATCTCAAGACCTGGGATCATGACCTGAGCTGAAGGCAGACACTTAATGACTTAGCCATTCAGGAGCCCCTCTAAGTTTCCCTTCTTTTTGGGATTTTGGCTCCATAGCCCTCACAGCTTTGGAGACTAATGTCTTTAAAGAAATAATATATATAGGTATACATGTACATGTAGTTCAGCTCTCGTTTTGCATCATGGAAAGAGATGTCTGCAACAGGCTTGTCCATCATTATGGAATGATGTTACTAATCCATATAATTTTTGAACATCATATTAATTAATTATTCATATTAATACTGAAAATTACAGTGAACATCTAATTAGAGCATATGTGGGAAAGCACTGAGCAAACTGGAAAGCTCTATGCAAACACAAACTATTACTATTATTCTAATACAGAACATAATCTCTATGAAACCTATAAAAATATGGCAGAGAAGTATTTGATAATTTTGTATTTATTATTATAATTTTTAAAAGACTTCATTTATTTCTTTAAGAGAGAGAGTGAGAGAATGAGTACACAGAGGGAGAGAGAGAAGCAGACTCCCTACTGAGCGGAAAGCCCAATGTGGGGCCTGCCTAATCCCAGGATCCTGAGATCATAACCTGAGCCAAAGGCAGATGCTTAATGGACTGAGCCACCAGGCACCCCAGTATTTATTATTTTTTAAAATCTGGATTCTCCTAAAGGGCCGGGTCATCTAGTGAATATGCTGCTCAATGTAGAAGTTGAAGACCTGTCAAAATAGGGAGACTTATGCCAGTAAAACTGAGAGATGTATTTCCCCAAGACAACCCAAAAGGAGAAACCATCACTTGATAGGAAGTTCGGTAGTCCTGGCTGATGGAGGTGGGATGTCATGGGATGTCCAAGGTGAGTGCTACCAATACATCTTTTTCTCTCAGGGTCTTTTTGTCAAGATTTCAGTGAAGAATGGTGTCAGACTAATCTACCCACCCTATCTTCTCATTCTTTCCGCACTTGCTCGGGGATTTCACTGTAGGTAATCCTCTACTTATCCCTCCCTTCCTTCATACTAGCCCTAACTTCTTTGTGAGCTCAAGCTTTATAGAAAATAGAAGTTTTCCAAGGCAAAAGATTGGGAATTAGTGTTAGTTTCATGCCAGGTACTATATCTTGATGTACAGTTATCTCATAAAGTGTGAAGATATTTCCAAATAAATCTTACCTATTTTTAAAACAGATCTTATAAATAACTGCAATAAGACTGTGTATTAGCTTAGGTTGAGTTGAAATATGTTCTTATAGGATTATAAGAACAGTTCAAATTAATTATTCAGAGTTACCTCCAATGATGAATAAAAGTCCATGGTAATATAAGAAACAGAAATAGTGATTGAGAATGAGTATGGGAGGTGGGTCCTAGTGTAAGTGCATTATTTGTCATAAAAGAGAGAAAATAGATGTGGTTTTATAAGTCAAGAAAAAGAGATAAAAGCATTTGATGTCATGTAATAATGAAACTCTCAGAAGAACTAACTCTAGAAATCGCTGAGTGATTTCCTTATCTTAAGGAGGCAGGCTTTATGTGCTAATGGAATGGAGACTCTTTAATTTGATACCATTCTGTACTCCAACGTTTTTATTTACCAAGTAAAATTTTTCTTTTATAATAGAAATAGTTATAGTTTTTTTTTTTAAATGAGAGAACAAATCTACACCTTTATTTAATTACTCTTCAGTAATTTAAATCCTTGAGGGATACAGCACCACACTGATTCTCTGGCCAATGTCTTTAGCAGGAAGGTCACTTTGGAATTTGACATGAGTCACGTTGCTGTTTTCATAAGCATGAGTTACTCTGGTTTTGTTTGGTTTGCCACCAGGAGTCACTGTGTTGTTCTTTGCTTTGTACACATAAGCATATCTCTTGCCTAGACAGAATTCAATTTCATCTCGCACATAAACACCTTCAATTTTAAGAAGAGCCATGTGTTCCCCCTGGTTCCAGAGACTCCACTCATAGCCAGCAAAAACGGCCTTGGACCACAGCCTTTCAGACATAGTTTTTCTTTTAGGAGCTCTGTTCTTAGCAGCCTCCACAGGATCCAATATGGCAGAATGAGAAAGGCTTCTTTTATAATAAAAATAGTTTTATTTTAAGTGGATTTATTAGACAGATACATATAATATCTAATGATAGCAATATTAATAGAAGTTAACATTTTAAAAATCTCAGAAACTAAAGGCATGAAAGTGAATATGGACACAATTTCTTTGGTTTTAAAGAGGAAATCTAAACCAAATTTTTAGTACTTTTCAGAAATGACAACTGTCTTATTGTATAAAAAGCTATGCTGTGTAGTTATTGATTATAATATGGTATAAATATCCATTCCATTAATTGGCATTTGGTTTGGTTTCAGCTTGGAGTTATGACAAATCTTATTTATTTGCCCACATAACTGTCATTGACAGTGCTCTTCATCCCTTTGTTAGATGCATATTTCCATCTGGCATGATTTTCATTCTGGCCAAAGGACTTCCTTTAACATTTTTTACAGAGGGGTCTGCTAGTCATCAGACCCCTGTTTACAACTTTTGGATGTCCTAAAGAGTCTTTATTTAACTTTCATTTTTGAAAGGTATTTTCATAAGGTATATAATGCTAGCTGTATACCTACTTGACAGTTATTTGCTTTTAGTACTTTAAAGATGTTTCTCAACTATCCTCTTATTTGCATTGTTTCCAGTGAGAAATCTTTTGGACTTCTTATTTAGGTTCATCTTCTGTAACATGCCTTTTTTCCTCTGAACACTTCTAAGGCATTCTGTCACTGGTTTTGAATAATTTAATGATGATGTACATTGGTATAGTGTTCTCTATGGATACTTTTGTATTTCTATAAATATTCTTGAACCTGGCTAAAGAAATTGTGCTTGGATCTATGGGTTTATAGTTTTCATCAAGTCTGGAAAATTCTTGGCTATTAGTTTTTCAGGGATTTTTCTGTCCCTTCATACTTAATTCTTGAGGAATCTCATTATATACATATTTGGCTGCTTCAGAATTTCTCAGCATCCTTAATGCTCTATTCCTTTTTTAAAAAATTCTGTTTTTTGTTTCATTTTGGATAGTGTCTGTTACAATATGTTCATGTTCACTAACCATGTCCTTTGCAATGTCCAGCCTGCTAGTCATCCCATCCAAGGTACTATTCATATCAGACAGTAGTTTTCATCTTAAGAAGTTTAATTTATAACTTTTTAAATGTCTTCTATGACTTAATTTTGAACACATGGAATCAAGTTATAATAGTTGTTATTGTTCTTGTCTGCTAACTCTACATCTGTGTCAGTTACTGTTGATATCGATTAATTCAGTTTTTTTTTTTCTTCATTAGGGCTCACAATTTCCTGAGTCTTTCCATGCTTGGTAATTTTTAATTGGATGGAAGATATTGTGAAATTTACATTCATTGTTGGATGCTGGATATTCTCGTATTCCTCTTTGGGTCTTTCAATCATTTTTTCTGTATCGTGACCTAACTTTTTTTTTTTTTAAAGATTTTATTTATTTATTTGACAGCAGAGATCACAAGTAGGCAGAGAGGCAGGCAGAGAGAGAGGAAGAGAAGCAGGTTCCCTGCTGAGCAGAGAGCCCGATGTGGGACTCAATCCCAGGACCCTGGGATCATGACCTAAGCCAAAAGCAGAGGCTTTAACCCACTGAGCCACCCAGGTACCCCAGTGACCTAACTTTTTGAACATAATAACTTTTAAAATGTTTTCATATGCTCATTCTAGCATGTGCATCAGTTCTCAGTTTTCTGATTGATTGATTTTTTTCCCCCGCATTTATGGTTCATATATTACTGCTTGTTTGCATGCCTTGTAATCTCTGATTGGATGGCAAACATTATAAATTTTGCTTTGGATACTAGGTACTTTTGTATCTTATAAACAGCCTTCAGCTTTGTTCTAGGGTGTAATTTGGTTACTAGTAATCAGTTAGTCCTTTTGGGTCTTATTTTTAAGATTTGTTAGCTGGGACCAAAACAGTGTTTGATCTAGGGCTCATCATTCCCCACTGCTGATGCAAAGTCCTTTCTGAGAACTCAGTGCCTGGCAAAAAGAAGGTTTTTCCAGTCTGGCTAGTGGGAATGGGTGCTAATTATTGCTCTGTGTAAATGCTGTGTAATCCTGATCCCTTAGTTGTTTTTGCCTTGCCCTCAAGTAATTTTTTCACATATTTATGCTCATTGGTAGACTACTGACTGAGGGTTACTTCTGGGACCCTCTAGATTTCCTTCCTGTACAACTCTCTCCTCCATGGACAATCTACTTTGTCTTGTTCACTCAAGTAACTGGCAACTGATACAAAATCATTCCAGAATAGGTTTACTGCTGGCTGTTTACTTTTGTGAAGACACAGAGTTCGTACAATTTTCCAGGTTTCAAAAAAATGATCTGTAATTATTATAGTTCTGACAGTAGAAGTTAGAGTAATATAGGGGATTATTATTTGAGCATATAAGTGTAAAAACTGATATCACAACTTACTTTAAGGATCAAAATATCTAGATTGAAAAAAGAAGTCTGGTTATGCTCCAGGCATCTCATTCTAAACATCAATCTCTTTTAGAACTATTTCTTTTATAATTCCCTTTAACACATTGCCTTTGATTTATAATATCTGCTGATAACACTAGATATCCAACACATTTATTAGTTTGACATTGCTTTAGGATATTTTAGGAGCTTTTTAATATATATGAAGTAGAAAAAGATAATTTGAGGCACACCCTATTGCTTGTTATGTGTGTACACAGTGAATCCAGTTTTGATCTTTAATAATGCGTTATTTTCATTTAGTCGCAAAATTTACGTTTTTTTAATGGGTTCTGTGCAAACTGTATGGATAAGTTTGGGATGTGAGACATCACGTAAAGTGATAAATTATTCATCAACAATTGTAAGGAATTATAGTTTAAAATCACCTTGGTTTTAAAAACTTCTGAGTTAAAACAGAAAGTGAAACAGACCCATAACTAGAACAAACTAATAGTTGCTGGAGGAGAGGAGGCTGGGGAAGAGGGCAAAGTGGGTGAAGGGGAGTGGGAGACACAGGCTTTCAGTTGTGGAATGACTAAGTCATGGGGAGGAAAGGCACAGCACAGGGAATAAAGTCAATGGTAGTATAATAGCTTTACATGGTGACAGATGGTAGCTACACTTGTGGTGAGCACAGCGTAACATATAAACTTGTCAAATCACTGTGTCGTATGCCTGAAACTAACATAACAGTGTGGGTCAACTATACTTCCATAATAACTAACTAACTAACCAACTGCTTCAGGGTTAATACAGGTAAAAAGTGCTTAGAACAGCACATTAGTCTGCTTAGCCTAGAAAGCAATGAGTTCAGTACAGGTTAAAAATTAAATGATTTTCTTACTCTCTGAATTTTTTTTGAGATGTGTGTGTCTGCGCGGTCCCTGAGGTAGTTTCACTGATTCTGTAAGTAACTGAATCTTTGTGCTGATGGTGCTGCATTCATTTCCCGGTGCTCAGTGTCTGTCTTCAGAGGGGAGCAGAGGCAGCCACATGCCAGGGCGCCCGTGTTTTAATCTCCCTCGCTCTCTGTTGATCGTTTTTCATTTGAATTCTGCCATGGTGGAGCTTCCACTCAGAAGGTCACTGGGCAAGGAAGAATGAGAAGGGGGGGGTCTGGGAGGGGCGGTAGGGAGGGTTCATGAAACCCCTGGAGTCAGGGCAGGGCTGGAGAACACACCTGGAAGCAGGAGGAAAACTTCCTCAGAAGAGGCAGGGGAGCAGCCTAGAATCAAGACACATGCCCTTTTGTGTGAACTTTGCCAGAGACTTCTCTGGGGGGAAATGCTTTCCCTGGAAATACAGTTAGGAGTCAGAGAACCAATAGGAATTTAAAACTGGAGTACACCTTGAAGTCTGTCAGATAAAAGCTATTTAAACAGACGAGAGTAGACTTGGCTAAGAATTCTAGTGAGAAAATTAGTACAAAAAGCTAGCAATTCAAGAATAGCCCCACTGGCTGAGCTCGTACTAGATGAAAGTTGTTTCGCTGTAGTTATAAATGATAATTAAAGCATAGTATTTCTTTAAGTAAATCTCTTGGTTTCTTTATTGGGGAGCAGATCACACATGATCAGTAAGGCAGTCATTACTGACATGAATAATTTTCTGTTTCATTTTAGATATCAGTATTTTCCAAAAATAAGAATCCACACTGTAGCATTATCAAAAAGTAATCCTTGAAAACTTATAACCTTCATTTGATTTTTGGACAGCTGTAGGGCTATAAATTCTTCTTTATACTGAACTTAATTATCTCTCTGTTGTAGTCATCCACTGTAGTTCGGTTCTTTGGAGTGAAACAGAATAAGCCTTATCCATTGTAGGTATTTGAAGACAGTTTTGCAATCCCATTTCTCCTTCAAGTTTTCATCACATGACATAGCCCCTTTCCCCTCACAACCCTGATTATCTTTCTAGATACAGAACCAATTGCCAAGGTCTATCTTGTGAATAGAGATAAAAAAGAAATATAAAATGTACTTGCTACCACTAAAATACTTATGAAATATTGATTTTTTCCCCCAATGCTTGTCATGTATCTTTATGCCCAACAGGTATGACAGGTTAACAGCTATAAAAGAGAAATTTTAACAAAATCAATTGAAGGGGCCTGGTGAGTTGGAAGTGACAGTGAGTTTGGTTGGAGCATGTGTTGTCCAGACATTCACATTGCATTAGAAAAGGAAGGATGCCGATTAACTAGTTTACTCAAAAATTATTTTATTCAGCCATTCAGTCTTGCAACGTTTCTCAAAATGTGTTCTGGGGACCAATCTGCTGAGAAAAGTTTTTTTGTGGTTACATAAACTCTGTATACTATGTTGCTTCTTTGAGATTTTGTTGGATACATTTCACATAAGGCATTCTGATCAGTCCTATAGCAAAAGAAACTCCTTTAACACAGTTTCGATCAGCTTTTCCAAACTTAATTTTGCTATGGGAAACTT